GCTGTGCTGTTTGTTAATGTTAATACTTAGTTAGTTAGTTAAAATATGTTTTAGTTTCACTTTTTCAAAAAATTTTTGTTTTTCCCAATTTTGCTATGAAATCAGGATTTTTTTATACAAAATATATTAAATGACTGAAGTTTGATTTATCTTAACATAACTTATTTGATAATTAATTTTTTTAATAACTAAGGTCAGACTAACTTGATTTTCTGTTTAACATAACATGAAATGCCTTGTAAAAGAAAGGACAAGATATTAAAAAACATAATATTAGACAAAAATTAATGCTATAATTTTATTGATTAATTTAATGCATATAGATTTTGAAAAATAGAAGGTTATGTTGAAAAGAAAATCAAATTAGTCTGGTCTAAGAAGCTTTTATTTATTTAAATTATAACTTGAACAAATTAATAAGCTTACCAATTAATCTGAATCATGCATCTGAACAGTTAGATAGTTCAGATCAAGCATTCAAAACATTGTTGTGTATTCAACAATATTTTTTATATGTCAAGGATTCTTATCTGGGCCTTCATCAACAAGAAGAACCCAAATAGGTTTGATTTTATTTTCTATTTTTAACATATTATTCAGATAGCTGTCTTTTACTAACAAATTTAAATCTCACATATGAGTTGTGGAACTTGTACCAACTCCATATTAAGGATGAATAAAGATTAAAAGTTGGCTATTGCAGAGTATAACATTCATGTTATTAGGACTTATTATTAAATAGACTGACAATATTAGCTTTTGCTGCACATTTATAAGAAAATTATGATCAGGAACTGTCATAGGCTTTCTAATTGTTTGTAAAACTTTAAATGTTCTTCCAACTGCTGCAATGCCAAGAGGAAACTTGGCCTTGTTATCTTGCAAGATTATTATGAAAGAACCTAAAAATAAAGATGCATATTGTTTTGCCACCTTTACAGAGGCAAGACAATAATGCTCATCAGGGTGGTTATTGTTGGCAGTTCTCGATACTGATAAGACCAAGATGTTGGCAGGATAACAGTAGATATTGGCTACTATTAAATTAGAATAAGAAGGTAGTAAATAATTGTTTATAGTAGATTTGGCAATATATTCACCATATATATTTCTGATATTATCTACAAGATAGTTAACAGTTCTGACTTTTACTAGCTTTCTTCTTTTTTATTTCTGCAGTTCTGAATTTAATGCTATCATAAATGTGATTAAGCAAGTCTAGATGGGTTTGCAAGAATAAAGGACAGCTAAGCTTATTATATTTAACAACTATTTGTTGTTCTTGTAAGAGTTGGTTTCTAATATAAGGCAAAAAATAGTAAGCTTTTGAATTCAAATAAAGTAAAGAAAAATAAAATAAAAATAAAAATTCTAATCATATCCAAGATACCTTACTCTAACCTTTAAGCCTCTTTCCAGATACTATTAAAAAATTACTAATATAAAATTTTAATTGTACTCAAGGTGAAGTTTAGAAATTAGGTAAAATACTCTGAGTATGATTAAGAAATAAATAAACAAATCAGATCAAAAAATAATAACTTTTTTTTACATTATCACATTTATATTCTGTCTGTTTTTGTAAAGATTTAAGCTTTTTTCCTTCTATATAAAGAATTTGTTTTAATTGTTGTATGCAATTTGTTAAATTGTTTCAGGCCTTTAGATTATTGGTTGCATTATAGACCTTTTGACATTCAGCAAGCTTCCTATTCATATTATTAATAATTTCTATAGCTTACTTTTATGCTAATGCAGTTACTGAATTATCTGTATTTAAGTGATAGAAGCAGTACTAAGGTTTTGAATAGTTGAAGTGATATTAGAGTCTTAAACAATAGGTATTGTACAAATAAGTAAACTTGTGATTATGTTTTCTTTTTGATCTATTGGTTTTTTTTTATTTGATTCCATGAGCTATTACACTTTTTGCACAAGAATTCCTTTTTTAAATTTGGATTTTCAGAGATAACCATGTGATTTTATGTGAATATGTTACAAAAATGTTGGTACTGGGTAGTTGAAGTTTTATAAATAGATAATTTATTATAGTTTGGAACATTCGAATTAGTTTGCATGTTAGAAAAAATGAATTAAAATGAATAAGTAAATAAATAAAAAATTATATAAAAAAACTAATACTAAAAATAAATAAAGAATTAAAAAATGAAAAGAAAAAAAAACTAAAAAGATGGATATAAAGAAAAAAATATAAAAAAAATTTAGAACATATTATTATTTAAAGTCAGTTGAAAAGATAACAAAATTATTAGTATCTCAAGGTATAATTATTTTTTTACTCAAGATTTCAGTTATATTTATAGTGAATAAAGCAATATACTTAATAATTAGCTATACACTTATGTTTATTTTCATTAGAATTTTACGCAAATGTGAGATAATTCTATTTATTCAAACTTGAAAGATAGTTATAACAATATACAACTTGTAATCTGTTTATTCTATGCAATGTATTTTGATTCTTAAAATTTTTAATAATTATAAATACTCAATGGTCTAGAGAAAATTTACTCCATTCTTTATTTAAGACTTTATTTTAATTGTTTTTAATAGTTTAACAAACATAATATTGCAAGTTTTACATTTGATTTGTCTAAAGAAATATTTATTTTAAATATATATGTTTTTTATTTAATAGTTTAACAGAATAATATACTACTTTATATTTGCTGCATCTGGAAGATTTTATTGCATTTTTTATTTTATTATAATTTTATTCTTAATTTTCTTATAATAGTTTACTGTACAGATGTTGTAATTTTATATTAGAAAAAATTTATTTTAAGTATTATTTTTATTAACTTAATTTTTTTTTATATAATTTAATTCTAAATGCTTTTTTAAATTTCTTAAAATAGTTTAATGAATAGAGTGAACTACTAATTTTATATATAATGTATCTAGAACAATAAATAATATATTTTTTTTAATTTTTTCTTAAATATCTTAAAGTAATTTAATAAACAGAATACTGCAGATTTTATATTGATGCATCTGAAAAAATAGTGATGAGTACTGCAAAGCTTTATAATTCTATACTAACTCATTTTCCTGATTTATTATTTAATTTCTATTTAGAGGTTGCATTATTAGCAAAAATAAGTAATTAGTATAACTAACCTATTTCTTTATTTGTTCTATTCTAGTTTCTATAACAGAAATAACACTGTTAGCATGCATTATTATCACAGACAATTAATTGAAAAAGGTAAAACTAATTTTGGCTTTAAGCTAGTAAGGATGTTAAATACTCTGTCTGAACTTATTTGACTCCAAAAGTCAAGCATGTTATCAGATTTAGACTTGAATTTTAATTATATGAGTTTGAATATTATTGGTTTAATGCAATGCAATTTATATGTTTTAGTATAAATTAAAAATCATCTTGTTATAATTATCTAAATTTTATGTAATATTAGTGAAGTTGAATTGAAGTTGACTTTAAGCAACTTGACTCTAACCAATTCGAAAACTGATTAAACCAAGCTGCTATAAGCTAGTTGAAACATTGTTATACAATGCAGATACAAGATAAAAATTACTGTATGTTATTACATCAATGTTCAAACTTTTAAATTCAGAAATTAGCTACTAAACTGTTATTAGATCTGCCAAATTCTTTTAGCTTTTTTTTTTTTTTATAACTAGATATTAGAACATCATTTTAATAGCAAATTATATAACTTCTAGATCATATGTTGCAAAACAGATGATTTTATATTATATTTATAAGTGATATAAATTTACAATACTTAAGAATTATGATAAGACTCTAGCATTATCTAAAAAATTTTCACTATTAGTGTTAAGATAGATTTGAGATATTTCTGTTTTAATTTTATATTACATCTGATTTTGAATTTTAATTTGGCCTGATAATAAAATTTTTTGGTATATTGGTTTCATAGTTTTTTTTTGTTTTTTTTTGATATTAAGGTAACCTCTTTGGTCTTTTGACTTTTATTAATCACTTATTGGTATTGTGGTTCAATGAACTACCACAGGAAAGCATACAATTGGCTATATGTGTAACTTTTCTATATTACCTATTTAAGGAGTCTGCCTGAAGGTTTCCTACCAATTGCTATAACTAACACTTCTGCTTGGATGTTCTACTTTAAACCCTCTGAACCTGTAACCTATATTAACATCACTGGTCATCTCAAATGCACCAGATCATTATTCTCAATCTTAGAACTAATTTATCCTCGAGGTAAACCCCCAGAGCCTTCTGTACCTATTTTTATAGCTGATCTAGGTATCGCTATAGCAGAACCAACACTTGTGATCAGGGCTAACCATTAAATCACTATGCCTTTATAGAGTTTACTTAGACCCTAGCATCTACTTCACAGCATAACTTCAGTACTTTAATATACCTCTGCTTTTTGTCCAGCCTTTTTACCAAACTCCCAATCCAGATAGCTTATGTAGGACTATGACCAGTCCATTAGTATATCAGGTTGGCCTGATATTCTTTTTCTCTGGTTCATTCTGGCAGCCTGGTTGGCAGTACCTCTAAGCCTCCCAACCCTGAGGTTCTTGCCCATCTGACTACTATGACCAGATACTATGACCTTGGTATCCATTTCCCCAAGCTAGCTTTTACAGTAGGGCCATCAAAGATCCAGCTACCTCTTTACTCAGGTCTTCCAAAATGGACTTCTTGTTACCTAATTTCAATAGATTTACATGACTACAAGGACTTATCTAGTATTTGCACTACCAAATTTGTCAGTTTTCATTCTTCTGTATAATGCTATACTTACACAGATGCCCCATGACCTGCCAGTCATGCTGGTGTGACTGCTATTACAGATATTCTAATCCAATCATTAGTAACAGTTGCCATAATACAAATATTACATAGGTGATTATCCAAATTTTTGCTATCGATGGGATTTGAACACCCAACCTACTACTTAGAGGATTGACAACCTAACCACTTTACTAGATCACCACACTCTGATTTCATAGTTTTATATAATACAATATAATTATTTTATTATTATATTAATTTAGTAATAATATTAGTTTTGTATACTACTTTAAAACATCTAAGCAATCAAATTTGAACAACTAAGTAATCAAATTTAAACATCTGAGCAATCAAATTTAGACATCTAAGCAATCAAATTTGGATATAGTTGCAATCAAATTTGAATATAGTTGCAATCAAATTTAAACATAATAGCAATCAAATTTATAAATCTTAACAATTAAATTTGAACAGCAAAATCTTATTATCTAGTAATCAAGATGATATAATTTTAGCACTATTTGATTTGTCTAATCATAATGAGTTGAATAGTGCCAAAATTATATGATTTTAATTACTATATTATGAAATAATACTGTTCAAATTTGATTGTTAAGAAGTGTAAATTTGATTGCTACTATGTCTAAATTTAGTTGTGACTATGTTCAAATTTGATTGTGACTATGTTCTTTGATTGCTCAGGTGTCTAAATTGGATTACTTAGATGTTTAAATTTTATTACTCAGTTGTCTAAATTTGATTGCTCAGTGTTCCAAATTGGTA